ATATATATAAACTTTGTGTAAATTTATATCAAACTTCAATTAAAAAATTAATTAACTTTAATTAAATCAATTTATATTTCTCTTCGTGTTTAAAATTTGAAAGTATTAACTCGTACAAATTAATACTTCAAATTATATGTTGTATTACGAAATATTCCCTTTATACTATATTTGACATGGATTTTTATACATCAGTAGCTTCCAGTGTTAGTTTGATTGCTGATTATGATTAAAATAAGTATACGATAGTCACAGCAAGTCACAGAAGTTGAACATTTTAAGGTTTCAATATTTCTTCCAAATAACAAATCTATGGAAGATTGTGATCAGGTAGTGCCGAATTTTGGGTTGTAAAATGTATCTTTTATAAAGTTAAGGAAAAAAGAAAACATAATTTTATAAGTCTATGTTAAAGTTCCTTACTAAAATCATGGGAATAGTATTACGACATTCTTATGCCATAATTATAAAGAGTTTAGTAAGTTTAGGAGAATAAGCACTCAAATGACTCGACAATCATAGATAGGAGTGTTGTTAGAGAAGTACACAGTAGGGCAAGCACGTTTATTTGACAAATTATACACCTGTAATTTACAAACCGTGCGTCCTATATATAATCTAATTGAAGATTTTGAAAGCCTGTTAAGTATTTCATACGCATTTCTCTTATAGTTTGAGAAAGGCAAGCAGTTTGACATCTCTGTTGTGTCAAAATGCCTACAGGATAACCTTTTATTATAAACAAAATATTTGTACAACTGCATCAACAGACAATAAAATAAATTACAAGTTCTGAAAGTTTATTAAATATACTCCATTTTATGTATAACGTTTTACCAATTACAGATAATTATAACTGATAACTGTAATCTGTATATATAATAAAACCTGTCCAAGACGGAACCTGAATAAAACGGAAACCTGTCAAACCGGAAAATTTTTGTTATAATTTAATTTCCAGATTTTATAATATGAAATAATTATAGCAGATAGTTGGGACGTGTTGTAATAGATGATCGCCATAAATTAAAAGAAACGAATGATGTTTGGCTACTGGTGGTATAGCCACCATCAAATCCATTGATATACAGTATAATTTTGTAAATCTGTTTCTCTTTGTGGCATTAAGCTAATGCATAAAAACAGTTCCTTCTTATTTGTTTGTTAAATAGATTTAACTGGTTATTTAGTTTAAAATATACAGTTTTTTAATGTATGAAATCTTAATTTTTTCTTGTACGATTTTCGTCTTGTATATTCTTCAGCTCTAACAATTGAAGGATTATACAGCACTACTCGATATGTAAACACAATACTTTACAGTATAATAATTGATACATAATTAAATAAACGTACTGTACTTACAGAAAAGTTGTTAAAATCTTAGCTAAAGTTGTATTAGCAAGTTACATAAAAAGTTAAAAATTGGTCAGACACTTTCGAATTGCCATATTTTGTAATTTTAAATAATTTGATAAGAATTTTTTTTTTTTTTTTTGTCTAAATCGCATTTATATATACACTCTGTTTCGAAAAAAAACCGTCGTACCTTAAAGCTAACATGCAATAGTAATCAAATTCTGCATGTGGAATGAGAATGAAAAAAAATCATACAATATTACAACACAAAATTTATTATTATTAAAGAACTATTTTAAGTCAGAAATGAAAAATATAAAACTAAATATAACGAGCAATTATTTATTTTCACATCATCACAATGCCAGGTTGCATTTTTAATCATATTTTAAACTTATTTAATTTAAATTATATGCTCTCCACCTCAAATTAGTAGTGTCTTGCCCCTGATACTTTATCTGCTAGCAATAGAGTCTCGCGGGTCATCTAACTTCTTTCAGGAGAAAATTTTTGAATTAAAATAACGTGAGTTCCGGTACAATCCGGAAGTTCGTACAGTATATAGTTAATCGGGATCTCCNTGAAAAACTGTATAAAAATTTTGTTGTTAGTAATTTAAGATTATCGATTTAAAATTCTTTTACGAAGATATAATATATATTAAATATTTTAAACTTAATAAAACTATTTACAATTTATAGTTCTTAATAATTATATCTGATTGAATAATTTTATGAGTCAATTATTCAGTTTCGTTAAAAAAAAATATCTAGCAACGAGTTGCTTAACTTTACGGGAACTTTTAAAACTGCATGTGTGGCGCCATCTGTTATGATATTTTATAAAAATCTCTTTTTTTATACTTTTAATTAATATAAAATGACAAAAGAGTTAATTTTGAGAGTAGAGATGGGTTATATATATATATATAGGCCTATATATATATATATTAAAAGTGTAATAACGAGTAGAATCGTCATTAAATCTAATCCTACTCGAAATATGACGCATGACTCCCCTCTATCTCCCCACCTCCTCGATCTTTAACCATGAAAATTTAATAGCATCAATCCCTATAATACACAAACCTCCCGGCAAAATTTCAGAAATGTTCGACAAAAAGTACAAACAGGGTGAACAAAATCGCCCCCCACACACACTAGAGAGATTATACGTTGTTAATTTTTTTCGGACAGTGTTTTTTATTTTGCAGTGTTTTTGTGTTTTTATTATAGTTATACAGTGATACCTCGGTTTTCGTTGATAATCCGTTCGAAAACAGTCGGCAAAATCCGAAACCGACGAAAACCGAGGCAATTATTTCCATATGAATCAATGTAAATCCAATTAATTCGTTCTAAACACTCCAAAATACATACCAAAAACACATTTTTAGAGAATAAATATAGTGTTTAATACTAAAAGCAATATTAATTACGAAATTAATATAAAATGAATATAAAAGATTAATATGATGGCCTCCGAAACAAAATTGCCATCTAACTGTTTTTGATTAATTCAAATTAATAACTGTTCGACATCAATTGTTTGCTATCTCTGTTACGTTAGCACATTCACGCCTTTCACTATACTAGTCTCGTTTATTGCTTCCTTTCTTCGCTACAATGAAACTTATCGTGGATGGCGACTTCCCGTACAGGCAACCGATTTCAGCAATCTTAAGAATCCATTTCGGATTGGTAATTTTCCAATCCTATTTCAGGCTCACGGCTTTAGTGTCTAAGGTTGTTGTATACAACATAACGAACAAAATATTAGTCCATGTTGATATACTTTTGTTATCCAGATGATGGATATAGTGCACAATTTGTACACATCCTAATGGTGCAGTTTCTCTTTCACTCACTAGCATTTTTCCTTTGTCTATTTTTGATGGGCAAATTTGCCACACTTCTTCCATTTCTCACAATTATTAGTGCCGCTCTCGTATTTTTCAATGATTTTCTTCCACTCGATCGAGCTCCTGGTCTTCTTCTTCGAAGGGCTGCTGGCTCTGGAAACTTTTTCAAGTTTCCAAAGCCAGCTAGTCTCATGATTGAGCTAAAAGGAAAGGACAGCAATAGAATTGTTTGGCTAGACGCGCGGGGTAATGCTCAAACACCGAGAAATAACGCCACACTAAGCAGGAAAACGCATGGATTGCCCTTTGTTTTCGCAAAATTAGCAGCGAGATCATCTGGACACGCCGACGAAATCCGAGGCAACCGACGAAAACCGAGACAAATTTTTCGTGGAAAAAATCGACGATAACCGAAGTCAACGAAAACCGAGGTATTACTGTAGTTTGTTTGTGAAAATTTTGGTTTTAACTTGTGAAATATTTACAATTGAAACTACATTTTGACCTTTGTCATATTATGAACCACATTGTTGAAGTTAAAAATCCTTCCAAGAGGGATCAAGGAGCTAACCACTCGGCTACTGGTAGGCATCTGACATATGCATTTTAAAGTATAGCGGTTGAATGATCGACGTTCCGGTTGATATAAACTTATCTACCAAGGAGTTTATACGAAAAGTATGAAAATTTAGAATTGTAAACACATTGAAACTGTTATAAAAAGGATTAAAAGAAATGGAAGAAGTGTTCACAAATATTCGACGTGAAACTTTGTCGAAAATAAGGTACAAACGATCAGTTTTACTTATATAATAAAACTAAATAATAAAAGTGATCTTACTATAAAAATAATCATAAAAATCTTACTTATTGTAATATAGTTTAAAGATTAAAAAAATAAACCTAAAACTTGTTTAAAACGAAAAAAATTCGATACCGCGTGATTCCGGTTTACAGGTTTGATTGTATTAAATTAAATATTAAATTTTTAAAAATCAATACTAATTAATTAATAAAATTTATTATGAAAATTTATTATGGTTAATTAAAATTTCAAAAATGCTAACAATATTAAATATTTCACATAATATAAAAGATTCTTGAACACAAAAGATCCAATGTAAGTTTTTAGTTTAAATTTAAATGCAATTATTATATTTTAATTATGGAATTATTAGGTTAGAACGAGCGGGAAACGATACTCTTGTAAGCTGTCTATGAAAATAAGCTATAGACAGTCAAGTTGGATCGAATCTAAATTAATAACAGTAATAGCATAATACTTATCACGCTCTGATCTATCGATTTATGCGTGAAACAAGTATTTAATGTTTATAGTAATCGATAAAATAATATCAATAGCATCAAAAATTGTTAGGAAAGTCAATTTATTTAAGAAAATTAATGCATACAACAGTGCCTGAGATGTACTGTGAGATTTTATCGCATACTTGACATTATACATATAAAAATTTTTTTTTATAATCCAATTTATTCATTACACACTTCTTATCAGTAAACAATTACATCTGAATACGTCTGTAAAATTTTAATTAAAATACTTCGAGTGCAAATACTTATTAAATTATGAATTTTAATCACCAAATCTACTTTAATTAATACTTTCAAATACAAAGCTGTTAATTTAATAAACACAAATATATTTTTTTATCATTCAAATAAACTGTTTCAACATATCTTCTGTTGAATTAAGGCAGTGCTTTTCGGAGTTCTGAATTTCTAATATAGTAGTAAAGCTTGAGGACAGAGCTTTATAAGCCTGAGGAGAAAAAAATGTTAGAAACTGAATAATACCATTAATTTTTAAATAACGAAATAAAACAAAATATATTAATTAACTGTGCCATTATTCAAATAAATATTTTTGAAACAAATAGTATATGTTAATAAGTTTATAGATATATTCCTAATTTAAAATACTTTAATTCTGCGATTAAAAAATTAATATTAATTGTAACAGTTGGAATATAGACAGTATTGGTATAACTTTATTTTATAATCATTATCTGTTTGATATCCTTTAAGAATTATAAATATTATTATTGCAAATTATTAAATTTTAATTTATTATCTTTAAATAACTTTGCATAATGTTCATATATTATTATTTTCAAATCATATTATCATTAATATCTTGATCCATTTGATGTCTACCTGTACGACCTAAATAATAATCAAGCGAGTATGTCGGATAATGAAAGAGGAAATATTAAATAATATTCAAATGTAAAAATATATATAATATTAAACATAATTTTTCTGATTTACTATACTTTTTTTAACATTACGCTTCTGTACTGGGGACTACCAGTAGACCCCCCTACAACACTGTTGATAATTCCGTGTTATATGAATTCCATGTTGTACGAGTCACTTAGATTTTACAAATACGTGAGCCGTTCACAGCCCGGCACACGTATTTGTAAAATCTAAGTGATTCGTACAACATGGAATTCATATAACAAAGAATTATCAGCAGTGTTGTAAGGGGTCTACTGTATATATATTGTGGTTTTATAATAAGTCAATAAACGCACATGTTTCTATTTAGGATTTATATTTAAAACTATGATATTTTCATAAATTTTAACAAATTATTTTCGCATCATAAATATTATATTATAATTTATTGTATAAAAATAATCAATTATTGAAATAAATTAATTAAATTGAAACTTACTCTACAAATGAAAGTCTTATTAATGGCAAAAAAACCCATGCATGTGACTGTAATTGGAGGACCACCCAATCTCTTCATAAAGCACAGAAACTGTTACGACATTAAAATATTAAAGTGAAATTTAATTTGTTTTTATTATCAGAATATAACATTTCTCTCTTTAATTATATTTATGTTATGAAAGATTAAATTAATTATACAGTTTTGTTTGTTAATTTTGATTTATTATTAAGTATTAAATTAAAAAGTAACGATAAATAATAAATTAATTAATAAAAATAATTAAATATTAATAAATTTAATGTCGAGAACAATATAATTACACTTGTTGACTATTAAATATAAAATTATTTAACTTACTTTCAACTTATCAGTCATTTTCATATGAGTTCTGATGTAAAGAGAAGTTGAATGAAATGCAGATTTTGCCTGGAAATATTTCTAAACTTTACTATTTTATCTATTATAATACTGTTAAAGAAATTATTTGATTTTAATTTTTATTTTAAAATAACTTAAAAAATCATTAAAACAATATACCGCATTTTCTATTTCTCCTCCCACAAGAGCCAAAACAGTCAATATTATCATGGTAATTACTAGGATGCAGGTTACCATGATTTTTTCTCTTTGTTTCAATGATTCATACATAGATATATATGCTAGCAAAGCTATTTCTCCCACGCCGACAAAATATGCAGAGCCAATTGCATTTTTACAGGAATTATTTAAATGATAAACAAACTGAGAAAGATTTTCGTGTCTCGAATCGATTTCTTCAAGAAAATCAGGAATATGTCTTTGAATCGGATTTGCAAGATCAGTGGCAATTTTACGAAAAGCTATAATTGTAAGTCCAATCAAGACAACAATTAATATTAATAAAACTACGAGAAACAAACAAAAATATAATTGAAAAATACTCATCAAAATCGCCAATATTTCATATTTCCATAAAATGCTGTTCGGCCTACTACGAATATTATAATCAACGAGTAATATAGCATAGATAATGCAAATCATAAAAGACGAATTGATTATAAATGGCATAATACGAGGGACGAATCCTGATACTTTATCTAGTTCCTTTGTTAAAGTAATGCGTATATCATTTACATACATAATTTCGACCATTAGTAGAGTAATACCTCCGATTAGAGTATACTTTATGATAATTGACTGTTGGTTAGAACTGAAAATACGCTTGTTGAAATGATGAAAATGAGGATCTTCGTTCAAAAATGGAGAAATCATTAAAATTCCGACACACAACCATCCATATAGTATTATGAAATATCTATAAAAGCAGTGAAGAAAATTATCAGACAACTTTTCTCCGAAATAATGACGGCAAGGATTTATGATGTTGAAACCGCATAACGAAATTATATCTATTAATGGTTTTAAAACACAATAAGTGCATTTTTCTTCAGAGTTTAATCTTTTCCAATTCTCAGATAGACAAAAATCGATAAGTATTTTTTTCACAGTTCTTTTCATGATGTATTTTGTTGCTAGTATTGTCCGGCGCTCTTGCTATTATCGTATAATATCGAAGCTAATAATCATCGATTTATATTCATTAAACAGATCGATAATATGAAAAGTATTTGTTAAAAGCGATCAAGAAAGCAAACAATAATCTCGCTTTATAAAGAATTTTAATATGATAAGTAAGAAAAAAATGTGAATGTAAACTAATTAATTTTACGTTCAGTTCAGTAAATATTACTTAATTAAAAACTCTTCTTTACCCTCAAAATTAAGCCTTTTGCCTTTTTATTATAATTAATAATATAATGGTTATATTTTAAGTGAAATAGTATGTACTGTGTATGGTTGGGGTGTTATCGTTTTTAGATTTCATGCAAGAAATTTTAGCATGTCTTATGGATTGTTGTTTTTATGTATAAAATGTTTGGCTATTATTATTATTATTATTATTATTATTATATTAATTATACGAATATTCAGAAAAAAAATTCTAACTTTTTTCCTTTTATTTAGTGAAATCATTAGTATTACTGATGTTAACACTCTGAGTACAAGAATTGTACATTATATCATTAAAAATTGATATTTTCAGATTAAAATGAAGGTTGAGGATACAGAATTTGTGTATTTTAATTCTGTTTTTATTTGTCTATCGTTAAAAGTTCAGAATAATTTTAATTCAGACGCTATTCAGCTGATAAATTTTATTTGTCAATTGATAGCGTGTGTACCGAATAAATTTCTCTCTGTATTTATTAATAAGCACTGAAATTTTAACAACTTTCATATTTTAACACGTGTGTAGATTATATACGTATACATATATGTTTAGAGAAATAATCTAATATTTTTGAAATATTATATAGTTTGTATTATTTATTAAACTGTAGTGATTCAATTGATTTAATTATGATAATTAAGAGGATTAAGTTTTCCCCCTCAACCTGGAGCCGAACATCTGAAATAAAATACCTTGCAGAATAATAATAATTATTGTACAATTGTAACTATTATAATTATAAATTGTTAAAATATTATCTATCTGTTTAGCTCAGGAAATGGCATATAAGATTTTATATATTACTTTATTAAGATTATATAAAAAGACTAAGCATTGATAAAGGGCTGTCCATAAATGACGTCCACATTGGAAGGGAAGACAAGTCGGATAAAGTCGGACAAGAGGGAGGGAGGGTTGAACTTCAGTGGACGTCCTTCCCTTCTACTTGTCCGACTTTGTCCAACTTGTCTCAATCATTGCATTAAATTTTATACAGTTTATGCATTTTATTATATTCATTTCAAAATGTCTTGTATATTTCGTTTCTATTTATGGTACTGTATATATCATTCATAAAGTGATAAAGGTTTTAAGGGAGGTCGAATTTTGTTGGACGTCCAAAGAGTCTGGGTGGTCACGGAAACTTGGACAAACTGGGACAAGAGGAGGAGAGGAGAAAAATTCGAAGAAAAATGCGGACGTAATTTATTAATTTATGGACAGCCCCTAATAGTCGAGGGTTCGCACCTGATAAACGGGCTGGTGAAGAGTTATCAACTTTTCTTCACCAAAATAGGTGCCAGTTTCCCATTCAAAGTTCTCTCAAGAGGAACTTATCCTTTGGTAAATCGCCTAAATGTTGCGTTGTCCTAGGGAAGGTTCACACAAGCGACTTTTAGTCGCTTTGTCGCTACTACAAAAAGAAAGTCGTTGAAATTAGAACAAAGGTAATTCAACAGAGTCAACCAAACGAACGACTGTTTAGTAACTGTGATCTAGGGAAAACATGTTTGTTGTTTCTCATTCCTTATTTCTGTTCATTTTCATTTCTTAAATCATGGTATATTTATGATTTTATAAAAACTGTTCCTTTAGTAGCTGTATGCCTACTAATATGTGAACCCAATATTGCCTTTGTATACTTTTCTTACAAAATCGCACAAGAAAAAAAGAGAAATACACTCAAATAATCCATTTTCATACTGAAAATTAAAACTTTGAAAATGTCTCGGGTATTTCTTAGTTGCAGCTGCAATTTATAGCTCGTGTGAACATTTATGCGATTAGCTACACTTCTGTCGCAATTGACGACCCCCAATAATACTGTTGATAATTCCGTGTTATATGAATTCCATGTTGTACGAGTCACTTAGATTTTACAAATACGTGTGCCGGGCTGTGAACGGCTCACATACTTGTAAAATCTAAGTGACTCGTATAACATGGAATTCATATAAAACGAAATTATCAACAGTGTTATAGGGGGGTCGACTGTACATATTTGTCACTCTTGTGGTTGGGTATGAGATTAATCGCAAGAAGCGGCGACTACGGATTTTTTTGTAGCGTGAAATCGCTCGTATGAACTTCCCCTGCATTCATAACTGTTATTACATCATTAAGATAGAAAACACATAACAGTAGTATCTAAACAAGTGATTTATCCCATAATTTCTTTTTCTTGATTTGCCAGAATGAGCAAATCGAGGAAGAGAAAAAAATTAATTGTACTAATATTAATGTTTACAATTAAACTTTTTCGAAGTTCATATTTAATTGTAATTTAATTTTAAATAATGCAAATCGTGATTTTTTTCACAGTTCTTTTCATGATGTATTTTGTTGCTAGTATTGTCCGGCGCTCTTGCTATTATCGTATAATATCGAAGCTAATAATCATCGATTTATATTCATTAAACAGATCGATAATATGAAAAGTATTTGTTAAAAGCGATCAAGAAAGCAAACAATAATCTCGCTTTNTTTTTAAAATAAAATTTATATCTTCTTACAAAATTAAGCATTTTGCAATTTTATAATAATTAATAATATAAAAGTTATTTTTTAAACAAACTCTCTTAACAGCCGGGAAAGTTACACAATTCGTTGCTGGATTAAAAAAATACATTCTTAAACAAATAAACGGCTAATGTAAGATTTGTCCATCATTTTTCAAAATCATTGAACCCAATACACCTACACTTATTTTGCTTTCTAACAAAGGTAGGCGGGTCTAAATAATATTGATAATGCTGTTTACTCGATGTAAAAATTGAAAAATGAATATTTTGAGTAGATAACATTTGGATAAATACAGAAAAAGAAATATTATCAGATAGAGTGATGAAAAACATGTTTTTCTCTTGATTAAACTACTACTTACTTAATTTGTAATTTTGTTTGATATTTTTATACTTGTAATAATAAATTTTATCTAATTTCCTATGTCATATAATTAGTTTATTAATTTTTTTTATTATAAAAAATCATATTTTGAAATATATAATAGCAAATGTTAAATTTCTACGAAAACAAAATTGTGTGCACGCAAATTAACTTTTAAGCTAAAGCTATGAATTTGAAATTATTCTGTTATATTAATTAATCTATCGTATTTGTGCTTTTATAAAATAATTATGAAATACAATTTTAAAATTGATGAATTCCATCTTGATGATTAATTAGAAATGAGAATAAAATTTATCGCAATATAATTTTTTGTTGATAATTATAATCGATTATATTATCTAACTAATAAAATAATTTGATAGGAGTTCAAATCAAACGTCAGTTCTTTGTCTCAGACTATTGTGTAATAGATAAATAAAATCTTACAAGATAAGTACGTCTTTATTTATTTTGTCATCTGTTTTAATATAGAAATGATTAAACTTTGACCATTTGTGATATTTCAATCAAGAATATTTATCGAATAATGTCAGTGTTCTATAAAAAATTGATACAGTATTCATTTCGTTTTCTTTTAAACTGATTATATTCATTTTTGAAATAGTAATTAGTTTTTATAACTTAAATAAATATTATTTAATATATTTCCGGTTTAACTTAACTATAAGTAAATTTTAACACTATATAACTTAAGCAAAGTAGCTTTTATCGTAAGTTATTCTGAGGACAATTATATATTTTATAGCATTATATATCTTATAAAAATAGCGTTTATAACATTATATTATGATATTTACCTGGAACGAGTTTTCTTTATAACTAAAACATCACGTGTGTTACTATTCGTAGTTAATAAAATTTAAAAATTCTAAATAAATCTACACCATTTTTTATAGTAACGTTTAATATTTTTTTATTATTAATTGTTAAATATTCAAAATAATAAATTTATTATTAATATTAGCAAGACAATAATTTCCACATTAAACAATAAAACATTCTTTATATCATCCAACCATATGTTTAAAAAACCAGACTATAAAAAAATTCCTATTAAACTTATTCATATTGAAAATAAAAATATATCGATTATATTAGTATATATATATATTGAATATTTCTTGAAAATATTCAAAATGAATAAAAGAGTATAATCACTACTTAAGAAAGATAGGGACCCAATTATGGCCTATCAAGTTTGAATTGTAGAGTCTATACATTTCTTGGATAAAAACTGGAATTGGTCAATATTGGTCCAAAATTAGTGGGCTTATATATTTTATATAAGCCCACTAATTTTATTTTATATTTTATACCTTATATATTTTAGTTTTCCTTATGTTATGTTCACTGGCTTAATTTTACAGGTAAATTTGCTCCTTATTATTAAAAACTGTCAAGCAATGCTTACATTAAGATAACATTCACTTTTGTCACCATTTTAATATAATTTAATTTCTTCTCTACATATAAACACTACTATATTAGAACAACGAACTGTTACTATCGGCGAACAACGAAATATACGATTATATTCTTATAAGTGATAGGATGACAAAGAGGCATTAATTATCAATTAGAGGTACGCTTTTGATTATCTTATACCTTTAATCTAGTGACTTTACGTGGTACGAAACGTAAAAAATTTAAGTGACGATTCATTGATAATCCCTGTAGCAACCGGTAAACTATTTAAATTTTTATCATTCGACCTTTACGATATAATAATTGGCAACTTGCTTAAAATATTTTTTACCTTTGATCTCTTGTTTATCAATTGTTCTTTTATTGATTGACAAAATATGTTAGGCATAAACCTGCGCCATTTTTATAACTGATATTGCATCTTAATCGTTTTAAAATCGACAATTTATTCCAATAAATTAAATGTTTTAAAGTGTATTATATTATATATATATATATTTTTTTTAAATAGATACTTTTTATATTTATAAGTATATTATGTATAAAAATTAGATCAATTGTTCTCATCGAGATGATATGATAATTTTATGTTATCATTTTAATATCAAACCCCCCCCTAACGATAACTAGATGGTTTATTCCGAAAAAGTGATTTCACTGTTATTTATTGGATTGTTTCGACGCCAGTTTTATAGTTTGTTCGTAAACTAGCAGTAATTACGATGAAAAGATTTAAGAAAAACGTCTCTTCTATTTCAGAAAACGTCGAATCCAATGGCACCGACAATCCAGTTCCCATCAATGATGAAATTGTACGTATTGTTAACTCTTAATTTGTTTTTGTTTTTTGTGTGCATTAATTTGAAGTTTTTAATATTTTAAAATAATTATTTTCAACTCAATTAAATAAATTTTAATTATATAACTTATAAATTGTATCATTTAAATATCTCGATTGAGAAATCCTTAATGAAATGTAAATTAATATAGGTTATTCAAATTTGTTTAATATGGATTTAAATAGAGAATAATTATAAATTGCAAACATTTTATACACATTTAAAAAAATTTATATATATAGTTTTTGCAAAAATTCTTATTTACAGTATTTATTTTTTCTAATTTTTAAAATTATTTATCATTGCTCGAGTTTAAATATTTGAATAAATCTAAATAAACGCAAATATTTTATTAAAATCTAACAAAGTTTTAATAATTTATTACATAAATAGGATTCTTCTATAATTTATCTTTCTAAATATAAAATTCTCATTTAACATCCCGCTTTGTAATTAGTATGATGATCAATGTAAGTTAAACAACTCATCGTTTGTGCTTTATTTTGTTTTATTAATTTATTCTTTTTAAGTAATTTTTAATAACTAATAAAATTTTTATAACGTAAAAAATGTTAGTAAGTTAAATTTTCTTTTATTAATTAATTAGGAATCATCTTCGAATTCCAAGACAACAAAATTACAAAAGTCTCTCTCAGATCAACACGCAGCAATCAATTCTAAGCATAAAGATTCTCAATCTTCAAATGTGGAAGAATATACGACTTATCAAAATTCTGAACCCGGCCAGTTTAATAACAAAAAACCTAATGAAATTGAGTCACAAACGCCTGAAGAAAACCAAACTAAAAGGTATAAACTTTACAAGGGTTTATTTTTCTCGTCTCTGTCTAGTGTTTTTTTCTCACTTTCGTCAGTCATCGTCAAATACATCGATGAACTACATCCTGGACAATTAGCCACATTGAGATTCGTAGGAATCTTAGTATTTACTATGCCAGTGGTGACTTACAGTAAAGAACCAGTATTCGGACCTAAAAAAGTACGACATTTCTTAATAATTCGGGGTCTCGTCGGTGCAACTAGCCTATTTCTTCGATTCCTTGCCTTTCGTTACCTACCAATAGCAGATGCATCAGTTATTGTTTTCAGCATTCCAGTATTTGTTGCAGTATTCGCTAGAATCTTTCTGAAAGAACCCTGTGGTATATTTCATGCCATCGCCATCTTTTTGACATTATTGGGAATATTTTTAATCACCAAGATGCCATTAGTCATCGCTAGTAGAATGGCTTATACGACCGATCAATTATGGGGTGTTATTGCTGCCGTTGGATCCACATTTTTCGGTGCTAGTGTATATGTAGTCATAAGAAGAATAAAATACCTTCATCATTCGGTTATAATGTTCAATTTTGGGTGGGTCGCCGTAATCGAAACACTTATTTTAACTGCTTCAATTGGATATTTTAGTTTACCAAAATGTGGGCTTAATCAGTGGCTTGTAATTCTTTTGGGTATATTCAGTTTTTGTGGGCAAACGCTATTAACTTTAGCTTTACAGTGCGAACACGCTGCACCAGTATCGATAGTCAGAGCCGCTGTCGACATTGTTTTGGCATTTTTTTGGCAAATATTATTTTTTCACGAAATTCCAGATGCCTATAGTATATCGGGTGCTCTCTTAGTATCTTTTTGTGTAGTAATGATTAGTTTTCGTAAATGGATAGTATCTCTTCCAGAAGAATCCACGATTCGAAAAAAACTATTTTTCTTAACTTTATAAATACGAGAAATATATTTTTATTAATTCGTTCATATTTTATATCTTTATATANATTTTAGTTTTATATAAATTATTTAGTCTTTAAATAATAATAACAATAAATGTTTTGAAAAATAGAAAGAATTCACTGCTGGGAAGACGTGGTCTTGTGCAAGCATCAAACATGAACTTTGATATCTCATAGTTCCTAAAATATTTTACTTTTATGAGATTTTATACTTTTCTGGAAACGTATTCTATATCCTTTTTCGACTTTATAATTTTGTTTTTCTGCAGGAAGTCTGCTTTCATTCAAACACTTCATGTCAGCAAGTCAATAAGGTCAACATAGCTTTATATTACATTATTCCAAAATTTTAAGTCAAATAAACGAATTTTATATCTTATTCTTCCTTAAATAATCGTTAATATAACGTTTTTATTATTAAGATAGAGAAAAAGTTAATACATTGTGATATACTTTATAGAAAATTGAAAAATATTGTATTTATATAATCGTTAATATAACGTTTTTATTATTAAGATAGAGAAAAAGTTAATACATTGTGATATACTTTATAGAAAAATGAAAAATATTGTATTTATATATTAGTTTGTTTAATTTAGTTTCATATATAAATCATCATTATTTGGTTAACAAATTCGAATTTCAACACGCGAAATCGTACCTATATTCGCGATAGTCACTTTGTATAATAACATTATTAAAGTTAGTTGTACGCGCCAAATTCATCTAGCTTTTATTTAAAAATTGATCGAAATGTTTTCATAAAGGAATGCATTCCGTCTATAAATCTAATGCCATTGTAAAACATAAAAACTTTGTATATAAATATATACAAAAGTCCTTCGGAAAGGAGGCAGATCATTGTAATTACGGAAATTGTTTCCTTTCAGAAAGGATTTTTGCATTGTAAACAAAATGAAATTTCCTATAAACTATTTAATAATGTTTGTAATTAATTTTGTAATTTAGATTTACTAAAGAAATGTTTGTTTAAAATTAGAACTTCAAATTATTTTATGTGTAAAAATAAACTTAAGTTATACAGTCTCTCATTTTTTTTTGTTATTGTATTCATAGCAAGGCTAATTTTAATCGAAAAAATTTATTTTAAATATATGATTCTAAAATATTTAAAATTTTTATCAATAAATATAAAACTTTTAATAATTGGGTTAATCGCAATCCGTTCGAAATTATTGTAATTTTAATTTGTTTTAATTAACAGCAGGGAAATATTTGAAGTGGGCAGAAGGGCATATGCTTCCCAAAAATATACGTGCGTACGTATTATTGGATTTATATATATACAGTGGGTGATCGGTTAACGAACATAATCCGTTCCAAGACTTTGTTCGCTCTCCGAATTGTTCGTTAACCGATTACCGATTTATCATAGGTTTTAATGGGAATTTAATAAATTCGTTCTGGAGACCCCCCAAAAAAATATATATATATACTTTCTTACTACGTTTATTTATATGTAATAGTAAAAATACATACATAGTCTTGCGTTTTTATTAGTCATGTTTTTTCCGTTTGAAAGAATTAAAGATTGCTTTTCTCTCTTCTTCAGGATTTTTCGTAAGTAATTAATAGCATTGCAATTGTAGAAATACCTAAGCCTCAACCTAGTTTGGATGCCATTCTAAGACCGTTGTTCTGACATCCTCCCACTTCTTCAAAGGATCTTTAATAGCAGATATCGGCATTAATCCTCTTTTTCAGAAGAAAACATATCTCGCCGATTTTCTTGATGTTCTTCATTCAAGAGTTCTTGGCGTTCTTCTGTCGTCAGATCCGTTTTAGGTTTCATTATGAACTCTTTGATGTTCTTTATTTCTCAAATGTGATTTTTGTTACTCCTTTAGCTGCTTGAGTCTTCTTGATTATATAGTATTTTTCTTAAATAAGATTGAACTGCAGCATACTGTAGACCTGTTTATGCCATACTGCCCAGTAAAATTATGCATCTTCTGCCCACTACCTCTCTAACTTTGCTATTATACTCTCACTTTCGAAAAGAAAACGCAAAACTTAACGAGTTCCCTACCCTACCCGACAGTCTCGCCAATACATAAAAGAATCGTTTTGCCATAAAAATAAAAGGCTGGAATTACAAAGGAGAGTTTCAAAGTTCGGAGGAATACTATCTGATCGGTATATACCGTCTTGAGCGTCGATGTCGACGTCGACGTCTCCCGCGCTCCGAAAAGTTTCGAATTGTTGCCCGAAGACAAGGGGAAGACCAATCGTATTCATTATTTTACGTCGCTTCTTCTTGTGTTTGTTCTGTGGGGTGTTCGTTGTCCGAACATAAATATCTTTCGCGAAAGTGTTCGTTAACCGATCACCCACTGTATTTAAATCTACACATTCTTTGATACCTAGATATGCTTCTTGTCAACAGAAATGTTAAAGTAGAAGATTGATTAAAAAGTAGTTCAATAATTCTCTCACATACTTTAATGTTTAGTTTATGTTTTCTAATCTTTTAAACGATTTTTATTCCATAAGTTGGATATTACATAAAAACTTAACTACATATAGCAATTCTTTATTGACTTAAAATTAAATTATACAGTAAAAGCTCAATATAACGGATCAGCACAGGACCAAAGAAATTGTTCCGTTATAATGAAAGTTCGTTATATCGTGATTATTCGTTATTGCGAACTCGTCCGTTATATCGAAAAGTTCATTACTAAGTAGGCTAGAATCACGTTAGAACGGTTCTCGATAACGAATTTTCGGATATTTTTCTCCGAACAAAAACTAAATGTAATGTAAAAATCTACGCTAAAAATGATTTAAAAATGAATTTTTATATTATTTTTGTATTTTTTTATTGTAAATAAAGTAAATAAAACGACGACTGAAAAGTGGTCCGTTATATTGGAGTACGTAATATCGAGATTTTACTATGTATATTTTTAAATGATTCGTTTCAACTTTGAATTTACATAATAATCGCATTATTTACGTATTGATATTTTCTATATTTACATGCTATTTTTTATTTGAGAGATTAACACTATTTTGTCGTATTGTTTTTAATACTATAAATAATCATAACACTGATAATCAGACAGAATAAATACTAAAAGTTTATCTATTCAATTATCAAGTTAAGATAGTCGTAATGTGCGAAATTTTAACATTTTATGGCATAAATCAAGAACAAATTTATTTTAATTTTTAAAAATACAGTATAGGCCTACTGAATTCAAAAAGTAATTATACATTACCAAACAAAATATACATAAAATAAATATATAGTCGGTTGTAGTGTGAAATCACTCTTACACAGCTACGTCCATGTGGTGGGTTCTGGATTGTCACTCATTTAGGGTTGCCAAGTTCGGAAAATTCCTCTGGATTTAGGGGGAATTTTTGTTTGTTTGTTTAGTTATGACAACGCAGCACTTGGGCGATCTGCCTAGGAGGGATGCCTTCCGGGAGATCTTTCTAAGTGAAACTGGCCCCTATTTAGACATTACAGACGTGGAGAAAACCCGGAAAACTCCACGTGGCCAGCCTGTCCGAGAGTGGCGAGAATCCACCACTGAACTCCCAGTGTTCAGGGAACGAAGACTGCTTGGCCCTGGTGGGCCTGGGGGAAATTTTTGGTCTAAGCATAGTGTATACAAGTGAACAAAGGTCCCTATAAGGTTCGGACCACCTCAAAAAAAGCTTTAATTTTAGACACGCGCGCGACGCCCAGAAGGTGGAATCGAACCACTCTGACGTTAATCAGCTACGAGTTTGAAGGCCGCAGGATCACCGAGGTTCATCTGGACAAGTGATACCACGCTCGTTGAGATCCACCAGATGTTAAGACGATCTACAAATGCAATTTTTACCATTGATTATCACTATCGACAATCTCTAATTGAACTTTAATTTGTGTTTAATTTCAATAAACTTATTGAAATTTATAAAATAATTTAAAAGTAATAGAATATGTTTATAATTTTTTTTTAAATCTTTATTAAACGGACATTTTTATACTTAAAGTAAAATATTTTTTAATCTATTAAATGTAATTTAAACTCATAAACCATCGATTGATTTTTAATTTCGTCTCCGTAAAAATTTTTTGACATAGTTTAAAATGTTCGTTAATTAAAGGTGTTCGTTATTTAGAAGTGTCCTTTACAAACGGTTTTATTCTGTATTCACTTGACAGTAGTTTAGCATATCATTATATAGTTGCAAAAATGTTGGAGAAGCAGGACTTTTATTTCGTTATACAGATCTAATTGTCCCAAAAAAAAACCGGCTGTAATAAAAAATATTTGGTTATAATTTTTGTACACTGCTGTAGAAAAAAAAATGTAGCAATTGGCAATATGTTTTACGTTATGAGTTTGGTTAAATAGTTTATAATAAAAGTAGTTAAATAACTTTTTCGAGAAAATTTGCTAGGTTTAGCAAGGTATAATGGGCAATTCGGAAACAAACCGGAAACTTCATCTTTAGTTTGTCGAGAAGTTTTATAAGGAACGTTGATGATTTACGACTACATTCCTGGCAAGTGATTTTACCACGGTTTTGTATAATTTTTCTTTCATTTTGCAACTTATTTTCTTATCACACAGCACCCCACTCATTATTCCCCAGTTCAGTCGTCCATTCTGAACTCTAAGTTGGATTTCTGCATCATTATATTGTTATATTTAGTAATAGTAAATAAAATATTAAAAAGAAATTGTTCTGTTTCATTCACAATTTTAATTGCACTGGCGGTCCTAAACATTTTTTCCAGAACCGTATATAGGCCTACATTTTAAAAAGTCTACAACAAAACCATAAAACTACTTAGTCTTAATTAATTAAGGTGTTACAGGCTGAAGTAAATTTTTTTAAGATTTGCCTATTTTTTACGACTTATTTGAACGTATGTAGCGACAATTAGTCTTTCATTCCGATTTTATCCATCCATCGAAGCAGTCAGAAAAAGATGTAATTAAAAGTTTTGACAAATTGTTTGTATAATTGCGTTTATTTCAATGTCTTTAAATAACATATACTTTTTGTATGCCATTTTATGTTAAAAGCTATTATGTATTTTGGTGTTTCATTTAAAAAGTCGAGTAAAACAGAATTGAATGTATTCTATATTTGTATAAAGTTACATAATAAATGTTTAAATTTTATATTGGATATTGTTATTGAGGCATTACTTTCTTAAAGAGAAATGTTCAAGTCTGTAACCAACAAATATGTTAATGTCGTATTAGTATGTATACATGTAATAAACACTCCAAAGATCGGGAGTTCCGGATTTATCTTTCAAAAAGAATTATATAGTAATAAGTTAATATTAGCACGCGTCTTAAACTTTTAAGCATTTTTTATATATTTTTAATGTAGATAAATTCAGTTGTATTTCAGTTCTTGCGAGCAACCACTATCGTGAACAAAATGACATCAATTTGACGTCAAATCCACTCTACTCAAGCTTTGAATAGCGTGTGATATGACATCAAATTGACGTCATTTTGCTGCACGCTAGACGATACACGCAAGAACTTAAAAATTCACCTTAAAGTCATAAACATTTTTTTTTTTAGTTTTTCATTATACATTAAAAATATATAATTCGGGCTTTAAAATTAAAGAATTCTTAACAGCGCGTTTTTTTTTAATTTCGGCATTAATCCATCTGAATGCATTTAGATGGCGCAAATTAAAATAATGCGTTTGATATTATTACTTTGTCGTTAAGTCAAAATATTTTACTTTCGACTACTGTAAAAATTAAATAGCGAACAAATAGTAAAAGCAAGAGATAAAAATGCCTTAAACAGTCGATTTGCTTCCGACCATACAACGTGGAAAGGTTCTTGTTTGATAAATTTCCAGTGACACAGAGAAAGAACCAATTGCGTGTAATCCAGCAATTTGTTGAACCCTCTCAATATTTATATTTATATATAGGCCTACACAAAATATCGAGGGTCTGTACAGTATTTGAACTACAATTTTAAAAAATCGTAGGCGTATAAATTCCCACTGTTCTGTCCTTCCTTACTCTCGAGAAAGGTGTTAAATAGATATAATTCATGACCAGATATGGAAAACTTAGCGGCAGGCGACCAATTAACTACAGTACACACAAACTTCCGATTTTGGCCGGAAGTCACGTTATATCAGATCAAAATTGTCTCTTGAACGAAATTAGATACATGACCAGCATTGACTTCATTGTTAAGAGGAAAACTATGATGTATAGGGGCACGATACTACTAAACTTAAGTGCACTGTGACAAAAAATTGCAGCCTGGTACTATAAAGATGTCATAATAAATAAATATAATTGCTCGTTATGTACGTATGTATGTGTGTATATATACAGACTATTTAGCGATGTTTAGCGGTATTTTATTAACTATGTAGATTTGAATTTAATCATTCCAAATTAATGGGAAAAAATTTAATTATTTTGTTTACTGTATAAAAAAGCAGAGCCATGGCTAGGGCATTTGACACCAGAGACAAACTTAAATATGGCGCCTGTTACAAATACAGTCGACCCCCCTATAACATGGTAGATACGTTCCGTTTTTTATGAAATTCATGTTTTACGAGTCCTTAAATACATGAGCCAATCACAGTCCGGCACGTGTGCAGTTTACGGATTACGTCTGTTTGAAAGGTTTTCTTCCATAAAATTAATCGATTCTAGACTAATTCGATTCAACCTTTCCAAAACACGTATAATTTTTTGGGAATAATCCATATAAACTATGCTATAAACAAGAAATTGTAGGATTACTTACAGAGTGTGCATCATTCGACGACGCCATTGCTTAAGCTTGTTTTCGTGGGGGAGCGGTGCATCGAATGGCGTTCGCGTGCTTTCTGATAAATTATTTTTCTGCGAAAAATTCGCTGAACTTTGGAGACATCATTAATAAAAATATAATTTTTATGGCCGTTAAATAATAAATGGTTTTTAGTAGGTCTACTGCTCATTTAAACTCAACGGTTTGTGCAATATCCTCTGTTGGTCTAGCCCCCTATTTCACCAACAGACGATTAGGCAAATCGCAGGATTAACAACTATCACTAATACAGGATTACTGATTTTGCGTTCCACCATTCTAAGATTAGACGTAATCTGGCATTAGTAACTAATCCACCAAATTCGGGCGATTAGTGTACTAATCTCGGCAAACATGGCGGAAGATTTGTCTTACTTTGCAGAGTATGTGTATGAAAACGAAATAATACAAAATTACTTTCGAATTCCACGACGATTAGTTTGTGATCGATCCAATCCTATTGAAAAGCTTGACGATCAACTGTTTATCGAAAGGTATAGGCTTTCTAAAAGAACTGTTATACTTGTATGTGACGAAATCAAGCACCTCTTGCCATCATATAATACAAGAAGAAACCATCCTATATCGCCTCTATTGCAGTTATTGATCACTTTACGTTTTTATGCCACTGGAAACTTTTATCACGAAGTGGGAGATCTGACTTCAACATCGAAATCAAGCGTATGTAGGATAATTAAAACTGTATCTAAAGCTTTGGGGAGCCTTTCAAAAAAGTACATCGCATTTCCATCGACCATGCTGGAATATAGAAAAGTCATTAAAAAATTTTATGATATTGCTAAGTTTCCAGGTGTTATAGGTGCTATAGATTGTACTCATATTCCAATTTCATCTCCTGGAACAAATGCAGAATTATTTAGAAATAGGAAAGGTTATTTTTCAATCAATACCCAGGTATGTTAAATTTTATATTA